TCCATCTATCTTTCTATCTCTCTATGTATCCCTCTATCTACCCATCTAGTTAGCTTTCTTTCTATCTGTCTGTCTCTCTATCTCTCTATCTGTCTATCTATCTGTCGCTCTCTCTATCTGTCCATCTCTCTATCTATTTATCTATTTTTTTATTTCTCTATCTCTCTATCTCTCTATGTATCCCTCGATCTACCCATTTATCTATCTCTCTCTCCATCTATCTCTATCTGTCTATTTATCTAGCTATCTATTTACCTCTCTATCGATTTATTCATTTATATATCTAGCTAGTTATTTCTCTATCCATCTACCTATCTATCTGTCTCTCTTTATCTATCCATCTCTCTATCTATCTATCGATCTGGCTATCTATCTTCTGTTTGTTTATCTCTCTATTTCTTTTTCTTTCTATCTATCTCTCTGTCTCTCTTTCTTTCTATCTCTCTATCTCTTTCTCTATCTCTTTCTATCTATCTATCTATCTCTCCATCTCTATCTCTTTCTATTTATTTGTCTAGCTATCTCTTTATCTGTCTATCGATCTATCTATCTATCCATCTATATCTGCACTTAACAGTTGCGATTTTCAATCCCCGAACTTCGCGTACTTCTTTCGTACTTAAAAGTTGCGATTTCCATTTTCCAGCTGCGAAAGTGGACTTCACGTACGATTTTCAAGCCCCAGCTGCGAAACTGGACTTCACGTACTACTTTCGTACTTCAAAGAGCCCCAGCTGCGAAAGTGGACTTCGCGTACTACTTTCGTACTTAAAAGTTGCGATTTTCAAGCCCCAGCTGCGAAAGCGGGCTTTGCGTACTACTGTCGCACTTAAAAGTTGCGATGTTCAAGCCCCAGCTGCGAAAGTTGAATTCGCGTACTACTCGCACACGCAAAAGTTGCGATTTTCGAGCCCCGGCTGCGAAAGTTGACCTTGCAAAAGTGCTGCGCCTGCCACGAAATCTGTACTTGACCTTGCGAAAGCGCTGCGCTTGCCACGAAATCTGTACTTGACCTTGTGAAAGTGCTGCGCCTGCCACGAATTTGGCGCTTGACCTTGCGAAAGTGCTGCGCCTGCCACAAAATCTGTACTTGACCTTGTGAAAGTGCTGCGTCTGCCACGAATTTGGCACTTGACCTTGCGAAAGTGCTGCGCCTGCCACGAAATCTGTACTTGACCTTGCGAAAGTCCTGCGCCTGCCACGAATTTGGCACTTGACCTTGCCACGAAATCTACACTTGACCTTGCGAAAGTGCTTCGCCTGCCTTGAAATCTGCACCTGACCTTTTGAAAGTGCTGCGCCTGCCACGCAATTCAAACCTTGAGAAAAGTTGACCTTGCGAAAGTGCTGCGCCTGCCACGAAATCTGCACCCGACCTCACCGAAATGCTGCGCCTGCCACGCAATTCAATCCTTGCGAAACCTCTGCGTTGCCGTGCCAATGGTCCCGGCAAGCTTTCGCGTCTCCGGAGACGCCAATTCACGCACAGCGCCACGCTTTTTGCGACTTTCTCATCTCCGAAAACGCCGATTCACGCACAGGGCCATGTTTTTTGCGACATTTTTCCTCGTGGGCTTATTCCTTCTCTTGTCATTTGTCTGAGAGAGCTAGGTTTCAATTAGTTGCCGTAACACGGAAGTTCCTTCTAAACTTCCTTTGACAAACCTCCGAAATGATTCAAAGGTAATCAAAGGAAGTTTAGAAGGAACTTCCGTGTTACGGCAATTAAAAAGCGTGGCCCCGTGCGTGACTTGGTGTCTCTGGAGAGCTGGAAGCTAGCCTGTTCGCGGCGCCTGGTCGAAGCGCGTTCGGAGCGCGTTCGGAGCGGGCCCGGAGCGGGCTCGGGCAGTCTTGGACCATGCTCGGAGCGCGGGCCCATTGGCACGGCAACGCAGAGGTTTCGCAAGGGTTGAATTGCGTGGCAGGCGCAGCACTTTCGCAAGGTGAGGTGCAGATTTCATGGCAGGCGCGGCACTTTCGCAAGGTCAAGTTTTCCCAAGGTTTGAATTGCATGGCAGGCGCAGCACTTTCGAAAGGTGAGGTGCAGAGTTCGTGGCAGGCGCAGCACTTTCGCAAGGTTCAGTTTTCCCAAGGTTTGAATTGCGTGACAGGCGCAGCACTTTCGAAAGGTCAGGTACAGATTTCGTGGCAGGCGCAGCCCTTTCGCAAGGTCAAGTACAGATTTCGCGGCAGCGCAACACTTTCGCAAGGTCAGGTACAGATTTCGTGGCAAGCGCGGCACTTTCGCAAGGTCGAGTACAGATTTCGTGGCAGGCGCGGCACTTTCGCAAGTTTAGGTACAGATAGGTAGATAAATCGATTAGAAAGAAAGTAGATAGTTAGAGAGATAGACAGGTAGATAGAGAGATAGAGAAGAGATAGATAGATAGATGGATAGATAGATAGAGAAATAGATAGACAGATAGATAGATAGATAGATAGAATTAGATAGATAGAATTAATTAGATAGATAGATAGATAGATAAGATAGATGGAGAGAAAGAGAGAGAGAGAGAGAGAGAGAGAGATGGATAGATAGATAGACAGACAGATAGATAGACAGATAGATAGATAGAGAGGTAGATAGTTAGATAGATAGATAGACAGACAGACCGACAGATAGATAGATAGATAGAGAGATGGAGAGATAGATAGATAGCTAGTTAGATAGATAGATAGATATGTGGATAGATATGGATAGGTGGATACATAGATAGACAGATAGATAGATGGAGAGACAGATAGATACACGCGAGATAGATAGACAGATAGATAGATAGATAGATAGAGAGATACATAGATGGAGGGATTGTCAGATAGTCAGATAAAGAGAGATAGATCGATAGATAGATAGATAAAGAAATAGAGAGATAGATGGATAGATAGATAGATAGATAGATAAGATAGATGGAGAGAGAGAGAGATAGAGACAGAGAGATAGAGATATAGAGATATAGATAAATCGGTAGATAGAAAGAGAGAGAGATAGATAGATAGACAGACAGACAGACAGAGCGCATATAGATAGATAGATGGATAGATAGATAGACAGATAGTAGATAGATGGAGAGACAGATATACAGCAGATAGATAGAGATAGAACAGATAGACAGATAGATAGATAGATAGATAGATAGAGAGATACATAGATGGAGGGATTGTCAGATAGTCAGATAAAGAGAGATAGATCGATAGATAGATAGATAAAGAAATAGAGAGATAGATGGATAGATAGATAGATAGATAGATAAGATAGATGGAGAGAGAGAGAGATAGAGACAGAGAGATAGAGATATAGAGATATAGATAAATCGGTAGATAGAAAGAGAGAGAGATAGATAGATAGACAGACAGACAGACAGACAGCTAAACGCATAGATAGATAGATGGATAGATAGATAGACAGATAGATAGATAGATGGAGAGACAGATAGGTACACGCGAGATAGATAGATAGATAGGTAGAACTAGATAGACAGATAGATAGATAGATAGATAGATAGAGAGATACATAGATGGAGGGATTGTCAGATAGTCAGATAAAGAGAGATAGATCGATAGATAGATAGATAAAGAAATAGAGAGATAGATAGATAGATAGATAGATAGATAGATAAGATGGATGGAGAGAGAGAGAGAGAGAGATAGAGACAGAGAGATAGAGATATAGAGATATAGATAAATCGGTAGATAGATAGAAAGAGAGAGAGATAGATAGATAGACAGACAGACAGACAGACAGCTAAACACATAGATAGATAGATAGATAGATAGACAGATAGATGGACAGATAGGTCAAAAGACAGATAGACAGACAGACAGAGAGGGAGAGAGAGAGAGAGAGACAGAGACAGAGAGAGAGAGAGAGAGATAGGAGGATAGATGGATACACACATCGACAGGTAGATAGATAGATGAGATAGACAAGACAGATAGATGGATAGACAAGTAGGTAGATTGATAGATTAGATAGATAACTAGACAGATAGATAGATAGAGAGAGAGAGAGAGAAAGATAGATAGATAAACGAGAGACAGATAGAGAGAGAGAGAGAGATGGATAGACAGGTAGGTAGGTTAGATAGATAGAGACTCGAGAGGTAGATAGATTAGACGTATAGACAGATAGATAGATAGATAGATAGATAGATAAGTAGATCGAGAAAACAAAGAAGATAGATAGAGTGATTGATAGATAGTTAGTTAGTTAGTTAGTTATTTAGTTTGTTTTGTTTTGTTTGTTTTTTGTTAGTTAGTAACCACCAACCACCACCCACCAACCACTAATCAGCACCCACCACCCCCCGCCCACCACCCACCACCCTCCTCCCACCACCCACCAACCACCAACCACCAACCACCACCCACCACCCACCAACCACCAACCACCACCCACCACCCACCACCCACCACCCACCACCCACCACCCACCATCACCAACCACCAAGAGAGAAAGAGAGAAAGAGAGAAAGACAGAAAGAAAGAAAGAAAGAAAGAAAGAAAGAAAGAAAGAAAGAAAGAACGAACGAACGAAGACAAAGAAAGAAAGAAAGAAAGAAAGAAAGAAAGAAGGGAGGCGAAGACAGGACAGAAAGAAAGAGAGAATGACGAAGAAAAAAAGAAACACTGCAAAGGAAGAAGAAGAGAAAACAGAGTCAAGAGAGGAAAGAGAAAGAGAACTATAGTTTTTATTTTTTTTGAAACTTCCGCCCACCGGCTTCGCCGGCTCTACTGGTAATGACATGTGCGATGTGTTTGTCCAACTGCCTGCCAGTATCCCTGCAGCCGTGCGTTTGCCTCTCCAAGTGTAATTTCTCCCAAACATCAAAACCTCCTTTGTCTCCTCCCAGTCCACCTGGACAAGGAATGTTCGTTGGTGGGCTGGCGGGGCCGGAAAAGCAGTTTCAGGAACTTTGATTTTTGGGTATGGGTTTAGCCCTCGCCATGCAATTGCAACTCTCCTCCTCGGTGACCTGACAAGTCAAGCTAAGCCCCCTGAGGAAGAAACAACAGGATTGCGAAGTGGTCGCTAGCTGAGCCTTTGCTTGAAGCGGCCATATGATACGGCGAGGATACCAGTTTGTCGGCCTTTGGCTACAGGACAAGTGGAAGCAGGCCGCCCACTTTGAGCGCGTGAGCGGCCCAGCACACGGGGCAAATATGGGCGCCGGCAGGGCTGACGTCGACATACATGAATCATATGAAGCAACAGAAGGTGAAGACTTGAAGGAGTTGGATCTGAGGAATACGGCAAAGCGAAGGTGCTGATTGCAGACTACGAGAAGGCCAGGTTTGTGGCGAAGCACTGCGCCATCACAGCATGCCCGAAGGAGCTAGGGAAGGCGGCGCTCGCAGTCAGTGGCGACGCTTCCCAGACCAAGGCTAGCTCACGCGAGTGCCACATCTTTCGATTCCAATCGTCCAATTCATACGCTTGGGGCGTGGGGTTCACCCTCGAATGCCGCGGCCAGGCCTTGCAGCAGCAACTGGAGAAGTACCACCAGGAGCGGCCATCGAATGTGCCCCACTTTTGGAGGGGACAGACCAGGAGCTCCGAACCATCCGAATGGAAAGGGATGACGCCCAGCATAAGCTGGATGAGAACGAATCGGCAGGCGCGTGTCAGGGCCGAAAGCGCGGTCTGTCAAGCCGGGTCCCAAGCTTCCTGGCCAGGGGAGTTTTTCAAGGAGAGGTACCGAACAGCGCAGGATGAGTTGCGCCAATTGAAGCAGGCATGGGCACAAACACCTGTTTTTTTGTTGGTCAATGGCGTGTGCCAGGAAAATGCCCACCTGTCAGCAACGACGGACAAGCTGAATCTCGACGGCACGAATCGAATGACTCACGAGCATGTGCAATCCCAATGCGCAATGTGGAGCTTGACGCGACTTTCCGAGGAAGCAGCGTTTGCAGAATGCTGCTCAATCCGACGATGTCTTGGGCACGGGGCTTGACTCCCAGGCGCAAACATGGAAAAAAAGTCGTCCTGCGCGCTTGGGCTGGCGATGCATGCAGCTTTTCGGTTGTGGTTTGAGAGTGGTTGCAGCAATTCACAGGTCGAAGAAGACAATGTGGGCCTTTTCATGCGTTCTCTATTTGAGGCAACTCTTAGTGTTTGTTGAAGCTTTAAGTTTCTGTCATATGTCCACGTATGTTGCACTCGCTGTCTCAGCGTCTGTAGGGTGCTGACCCCCCAACCCGAAATGTACAGGCCTTTCGTTGAGTGGGCCACGTTTCGAGGCGGAAAATGTACAACAAGAGGGGGGGCCCTGCCACTAGGTAGGTGTAATTTATGACTGCCAATCACTTGAAAACATGACGCCTGCCCCACAGGAATCAATGCAGAAGATTCAAAAGCTGACGGACGAGATGAAACGAGTGCAGGTGAGCTGACGAGATCTGCGCTTTGTTGATGGGTTGGTTGTGGGTTTCGACCATGCAGGCTTGGGGGATGAAATCCAAGCAGCTGGCTGACTGCCACTTGGACCTGTGCTGGCTTACAATGGCTTACAAAGGTCAGCCGCAAAAAAGCCGTCACGCTTGCGAGCGTTGCAAGCGCATCCCAGGCCTGAACCAATTGCTGGCTTTGGAGTCTGCGCAGACCAAGCTCTATGAGCAAACCTGCGACATCAAAGACTTCGGAGTCATTGGCCCCTCGGCGCCCAGGGCCTTGGTTTGTGAACGCTTCTGGGGCTAGGTGAGATCCAGAGAAGGAAGGATCAGGCAGAAGCCATCCGCAGTGGCTTGACTGACTTGGGTCGCTTTGCCCGGCAATGCATTGTGGGACCGGTCCTGCAATTCAGAGGTGGGAGCGTAGTATGGCCTGGGGGAAAGTTGGGTGCGGTCAAGTCAGTACGCATGCAAATGATCAATTGTGTGCGACATTGCCAACTATGCATGCGAACCATACCTGATCGGACGCGGGAGATGCACTACTTACGCTTGTGCTCCGCTCCGAGGACAATGCGATCAGCTAATGTCAAATTCAATTGCTTGATGTGCCGTGAGAGGGGCCGGGTAGTAGTTGCCAGCAGCTGCACTGCAAAAGCAGGGTTAGGCAAGCTGCTGGCAGGTATGCATTGCTTTTCCAAGCGTGAGCGCCTGATGCTGCGCCAATGCACCGCTTGAAGGTTGGCTCGGTTTCGAAGAGAGAAATCTGCTAAAGGCAGCGGCTTGTAGCACCCCCCCCCCTCGCGCCCACCTTCCGCATTGCATGACAGGCGCGCAAACACTGCAAGCAGCCATGCCTGCAGTCGATTCTTATGCACAGATTCTTTCGCTCTCAGCAAGCCAACTCTAGCTCCCCAACTTGCCTTTCAAAACTGCACGCGCCTTCTGCACTCCAAAGTGGTCATCCTCAGACTTCCCAGAAGCATACCGGCTTGACTCAGTGGCATGGAACGGGTATTGCGTTTGGATGTGAAGTTGGGCAGCGAGTGAGACATGATAGGTTTGGGGACAATGAGTTTCGGGCTGTTCCAGGTTCAAGTGTTGAGTTCGGTCCCCCTAATAGTAAACCGTCCCCCCCAATACCAAAAACCTCGGAGGGTTTTTATTATTAGGGTCCCCCAGTTTTTGGCCAGAACTGTTTAAGATTGGGTTGTTTGGTATTCGGTTCCAATTGCAAAAGTGGGACCCCTTTGATTTGCAAAAAAGCCCAATGGAGACGCAACCCTGTGGTTTGAAAGGAAAAAGCGCTCAAGACACAAACTTTTGAGGAAGACCTTCATAAAACCCTCTCCCGCTCAGGTGGCCCCTAGTAAGCACATTTGGGGAGCTTGGCTGAGTTCATCTGTTTCCACATAGTTTAGTATTGGTTTAGTATTGGGTAATTTAATTAGTATTGGCAACTATTGGGGTCGGCTGGAGGTGTTTATTTTGGGGGGTCCGTTTATAAATGGCAAGAAGGGATTTAAGCTCAGTAAGTGACGTTTCCGTAATTTCCAACATATGTGTAGACGTGCTGCAGCCTGCGGGTTTGGCCCAGCTTGGCTCGCGGCTTGGCAATATGTGCGTTGATACTTGGCTAGGTGCCGTTCTCAAAGTCAGCTACGCGGAGTCACCGCTGGACGTGGGACTGCGACACCTTGCTCTGAGCCTATGGCGCCAGGAGGAGGGACTTGCACGGAGCAACCGGGGCGGCTGGCATAGCCGCTACTTGGACGTGGAGAATGCCACCATCGCGGCCTTGGGACAACGGGTTCAGAAAGCTACACCCCGATTCTTGCAGCGCAATTGGACCAACTGGACTGGGACAATTCATTTGGCCGCTGTTTGGGCCAATGTCCATCGACTGGGCGAGTACAACGTAGAGCATCAGCATGCGGAGGTGGGAGCTGAAGGCGATCACGTCCCTTTGCTCTCTGGTGTTTACTATCCGGGCCCCCGCAGTTTGTCAAGGCTATGTTTCCCAGATTGTGATCCCTCAGTGGAGCCGGAGCCAGGAACCTTGGTGCTTTTTCTTGCCACCTTGCCGCACAGTGTGCGGGCAGCCGACTTGGGCGCGCATGAGCTGCGCGAGCGTCAGGAGCCGCGTGTATCCTGGGCCTTCAATCTCGTGGTGCGCCGAGCGGATGCGGAGGGCTTCACTCCGCTGCACCATGCGGCGGAGACAGGGCACGTGGCCATGGTGGGCAGCTTGTTGGAGGGACGGGCGAGCCCGTGGATGAAAACTGCGCATGGCTCTTTGCCAATACACCTGGCAGCCTCTGCCGGCCGGGTCTCCGTAGTGGAGAAGCTCCTAAGCTTGGACCCGAGCCTGGCTCAAGGCTCCGCAGGAAGTGCGCTGCTGCACACAGCAGCTGCCAACGGGCAGACGGCGTTGCTTCGCCAGCTGATTTCCTTGCGAGCTTCCCTTCAGGCCGATGGAGATGGCACAGCGCTGCACCGTGCTGTGCAGAACGGCCACACGGCCGCAGCTCGGCTTCTTTTGCAGGTTGACCCCACTCAGATCCACAGTGCAGATGCTGCGGGCCATCTGCCTGCGCACGAAGCAGCTAGAGGCGGCCTGGAGGTTCTTGAGTACCTGCTCCAGGCGAGAATGAGCCCCAATGTCAAGGATGCAGAGCAGCGCTCCTTGCTGTACTGGGCGGTGCATGGTGGGCACACGAGAACGGTGGATTTACTTCTGCAGGCGCGGGCAGAGGTCGAGATACCCAGTTCGAATGATCAGGGGTCTGCAAGAGGGGAGGCTATGGCGAATTATTTGGCAGCTGCTTTGATCGGAGCTCGTCTTAGTTTGTGAGAAAGCACGTGTTAGATTGCCGGAGTGCGGGCATGTGCCTTTGAAGGCTCTACACTGCTTTCCCCTAGGTATGTACACCTCCATCCACACCTGGTCAACTAAACATGTCGGTTATATAGTAAGTTATATATGTATGTGCACATATAGCCAAAAGAAGGTACGCCCCCTGAGAAAGCGAGAGCATTGGCTGCAGCAAGGATCTGGCAGCAGGCCGCAGCTTGCAGTGGACGAGCTGTCGCCAATGCACATCGTTGCAGCAGCAGGACATGTGCAGATGGCAACCTGGCTGGAGAGCAAATTGATCCCGAAGCAAAACAACATGCCCTCGCGGCTCCCTCCTTTGCACCTTGCTGCCGGCGACGGCCACGTAGAGATGGTGCGCTGGCTTCTGCCGCGCGCCGAGAAAAGTGCACGGGGCGGCATTACGTCCTTGCACATGGCGGCTCTGGGCGGCCATGTGCAGGTCATAGAGCTGTTGTTGGAGATGCAAAGCGATGTGTCGGCTGCTGTTCTTCGGCCATGAGTCCATGAGTCGATATTTTTCCAGTTTGCTATCGTCTTAGCGTGATCGTTTCCCATTGATCGTTTCCCAACTTTATGACTTTGTCAGCCTCTTTTTGGCGACCTCGAAACGTTCCTCGGTTCGGCGATGCCGTCTGAGGCAGTGGATGGAAGCCAGCCACTGCACGTGGCTGCAGCAAGTGGACACAAGGAGATCGCGCGCACCCTGTAGCACGGCTGCACAGGGTGAGTCTCTTGGTATGTGTCTTGCTTCTCATGCTTCGTTGGCGGGCTTGTCTTTGGCTTAGGTTACTCGCCCGCGCAGACGCTGACGCCAAGACGAGAAAGAAACATTCACCACTTGATCGCGCACAGGAGGCTAGCGGAAACATGAACCAGTTGAATCAGGTGATATCAGGTTAGTTGTTGCGTCCCAAGTCATCGAATCGACCGAGACACTTGCGACAACGCGGTGCGCTGCCTTGCTCTGAATGTGCTCTGGAGGCTGGTCACGCCGTCATGGTGAAATTTCTCTCGCAGAAACCAAGCACGGAGCTTTGAGCCGTTGAGCCTGAATTCGAGGCGGAGTTGCAAACGGTCCCATAGGATGGCGATGGTGCTGGCCCCAAGCAACGAGCAGCGCCTGCGGAGGGGACCATGGACAGTGACTAGGTGACTAGCAGCACCATGAGGGAAGCGAGTGGCACCAGAGGAAAAGCCTGAAGCTCCCAGCCGGCATAGGATGCCCAACAAACTCGAATTCCTGGGCGCTCAGGACTCTCGAACAGCTGGGTGTGCGTTCCAGTCATAAGATGATACCTGCTAGGCGGACATGCTTGCTTCCATGCACACTGACTTCCAAGTACACACTTGCTGCCCCTCACGTCCGTTTTGACGCGGCACCATTGGTTCCCTTTCCTGGCACTGGGCAAGGGTGTTCTTCCAGTTTGGCTCCCCACATGTCCTTGCATCACCTGCGTCTCCTGACTTGGACCCTTTTGGGGTTTCTTCCTTTCGTAATTGCTTGCCTTCTTCTATTGAGCTTTCGCGCAGTCAGCGTGTAGCCGGCCTTGCCCTGCGTAATGTGATACGGTTGGTCAACAGTACAATCTGAGGGGTGCGCGCTTCTAGCCACGGCCGGGTGAGATTGCGCCCCTCCTGCCAGCCAAGCTTTTCTGTTCTCCGTTGGTTCATGAAGAGACGTCCTGCGATTGCAATGCACGACTGCCTCCATTGTAGCGGCCCCGGGTCACATGTGCTTGGCACAGAGCAAAGGTGCATGTAATTGGTTCGCAGTCCGTAAGGGTTTTCTTGGTGAGCACCATGGACCTTTGTTGGTTGCTGTGTTTCCAAACAGGCCATGCACTGACCTTGCAACGGCAAGGCATGGCTTGCTTGCGCCAGCTGGCTCAGAGATTGCCCGTCCAGCACTACTCACTTGGCATCACAAGATCGGTAATCATCGGTCGTTGGCAGCAAATCGCAGGCACAGCTTCCCAGGCAAACTGGCACAAGGCATTCAGCTGTCCCATGACGGCAAGCTACTAGATGGATGTGCGCAGAGCCTGCGCAAATGAGCCGCGCCCAGGCTGGAAGCTGAGCTTTGGTTGCTGCACAGAAGTGGCAGGTTGAGGAGATTAGCAAGCTTGCCAGGACTATGACGATCACTGGTCGAAATGGCATGCTCAGCATCCAGGCAGCCTCACGGCACAGCTTTGCATGCTGTTTCGGAAGGGGTGGTTTCATGCCAGATGCTTGAGCAGCTGTTTCAGTCAGAATGCCAATATTTGAAGCGTTCTAAAGGCAGTGCTTGCAGCAAATCTCGGCAGTTCATTATTTTCCACGAATGGGGTTTGCAGGGGGCAGAGCGACTTACCACATCGCTGTTCCCGTTAGTGCCCATGGCTTCCATGACCCATGGAGTCGCGCGATGTTTGCAGCTTGCAGCGCGGCCCGGACAAGCATCGTGGTTCACTGGCAGCAGTTGAGATGGCCGTTGTTGTGCCCCAGAGAATGGCAGTTGCTTCAAGAGATTAGTCAAGGGCAGTGTGTGGCTATTTCTCCCTGCTTTATTCAATTAACCTACGTAGGCACCTTGCCCATTCACACTGAGGAGACTTTGGATGCTCTCCACAAGGCAGCTGAGCACGAGAGACAAGGCAAGGTGCATTCGGCCGGCGAATGGTGTAAAGATCAGCAGGGTTCAAACCACCGCGCATACAGACACACACACACACCATAGTGCACAGATTCAGGTTCTTTCGCATGTGGGTGCATACAGCAGCCGAGAAGGTTGAACAGCGCTTTGCTAGCATTTTGCACATATGATCAGGACAAACAACCAGATGCCACCTTGGGTTTTGTTAGGCAAAACCACGGATATGTTGGGTTCCAAGGCTGCATTTTGCAAATTCAAGTGCCTACTGATGCTCACTGCACGGCCCTTCCATAATTTGGGGACGGTCGGGAGCAACTGCAGCCACGTTGGAAGCAGACGGGCTGCACCTCAAAGATGTTTCATCCCAGAAGGCTTGGCAGACCAAAAGACAGATCGGCTGATGGAGACTTGCAAGGGCGCTTTTCATATCCTATACGGGAACCAGGTGGCGCGGAACCCCACAACGGGATGCGATGAAACCCGTTTGACTCTCCAGGTAGTACACAAGGGCGTGTAGGGCGACTCTGGTGGTGCCAGGATGCGATGTGTCCTCTGTGTGTGTGTGTGTGTGTGTGTGGGTGGGTGTTGTTCACTTGGAAGAAGTGCGTGTGCAGAGGCTTGCACGCATTTGCGGATCCAAAAAGGCCCATGTGCCTTGGAGCAACTCTCCAGCAACCCGGAGCCCAACATGCTGAAAGTAGCCAAACCCGGCTGAAGCGCTGAACAAGATGCTGCAGGACGTGCAAAACAGGACCTGCTGAGGCCCCTGAAGCCACAAACGCTGAGCACATGCCGTTTTGTGTAGATTTTGAGCCCAAAATGCAGGTCCCGAACACCCTCAGCTTCGGCAGGGACTCCTTGGAGGAAGACACACATTCGAAACTTACGAGGGCCCCTACCATCATACCATTTGTCGCCCGACCTCAGATGCCTACTTCTGTGCCGACCGTTTCACCGGGGTTAAGGCCAGTGGCTTGACAGGAGCGGACCTCGCTGGTTGAGCAGAAGAGGGCCGCCATCGTTGCAGGGCAGAAGCTGAAAATCCAGGAGGGCCACAGCACTGTTGTCACCCTCAATCCCTTTGGTCTAGTTGTTATGCGCAAGTCTTACACGTAATTATCGTAGGAATTCCATGATGGGTGACATTAGCTTTTGCAATTCGTGTCCTGTCGGCAGTGAACAACTGTAAGAGTGTACAATACAGTGTTGGAGCTGTCTGTTGACTTCGCACGGTCCATGATGACGTCTGAGGCGCAGCAGGTTCCACGAGCATTCCGGGAGACAGGCCCAACTGTCTGCCGGTGCCACGTTGCCTTCGGCCTAGCCAGGTGGAGGCGTGCAGGGCGCGGCAACGTTCATGGCTTTGTTGATGAGGCCGCGTCCAGTTTATGTTGCACTTGCCTGGCGCTGAACATTACAGTAGCCAGAGTAAGAGAGCATGAGGCCGACCAGCCCTTCTTTGGCTCGCCTGGTGGCTGGGCTGGCGGTTTCTTCCGGCTTCGTAGCAACAGCCCACTGGCTGCTCCATCCTACAGACGCGTGGGGCGCTCAGACGTGAGCCTTTGGCTTCTTATGGTGCCGCGTACAGGTTCTGCGTGCTGAGCCTTGGGTGCGGCGCCTTCGCATACGTGGCACTAGCCTCGGATTCTTGCCTCAGCGCCTTCTTTGGTGTGTCACTGGGCCGTAGTGAGGCAGTCGTAGGGACTTCGCACCATGTGTTGTGGTACACGATCATCACCCCGGTAGCTGCTAGGCTGCAAATTTTGCGCCAAGCCGTTTACGACTCGCTTGGGTGCTGCAGCTGGGATGCTGTCGAGATTTGATCCTTCATTTTCAACTTACCCTGCTTCATGGCTTCCTACACTACACTTTTTACCAGAATAGCAAGGGCATGAGCGAGCAATGCACATTCCTCAAGGTCATGGCGGGCCTTTTGGTATGGCCAAAAATTCCGGCATGGTATGCTGCCTCGTTGGACGCGCCGCGCCAGAAGGTGGGACTCTCTGCACACGCACGGAGTTGCATTGTCCCATCATGCACAGCAGGTAACGCAGCATGGAAAGTAAGCTGAGTGATTTGAAGCTTTCCAGGCTGTGCGAGGTCCTGGGCTTAGCTGAGAGTTGCTGAAGGGGTTGAACTTACCTGGCTGGAACCGCAATGTTGCAGCATGTTGCAGCGTAAAGGGTCGGAGTTGCTACGACCTGTCCTTCTCTCCCCAGACTTGGCAGCCACCGCCCAAGTGGCAAAGGAAACAGCTCGAACTGCTCCGTTGCGCTTTCCAGCAGCACGTGTGCACATGGCAGGGCGCTGAGCTGACCAGTGAGAGCTGCTGAGTTTCAACCGGCTTGCGCCGCGCCGCCAAATCGTGGAGAGCCCCGTTGAGACCATGGCCCGCGGAAAGAACGCAGACTTCGAGCAGTTGCCGGCCCATGCGATTGACTGACGACTGCATGTTGGCAGGCTGCGAGTGGCACTTGAGCTACCATGGCGTTTGCGGAATTCTGAGGCTACAATTGCACGTTTGTCGCTTGTTTGCTCCTGGCGCTTCTCAGAAGAGACTGCAGGGTTGCCTGTTGCGTTGCAGGCCCATTCTGAACCCGCTGCTGTCAGGTGCTCTTTTTTTGAGTCCAGGACGTCTTGGATTTCCATATGTGTTGCCTGCAAGGTGGTGGGCGAGTGGTCGACCTTGGCTGCGGGACTAGCAATTTCAGCACGAGAGCCCAGTCCCAATGCACAGTCAGCCACTGCTTTGGTGCTTTGCACGGAACAATTTTGTTTCAATGGTTGCAGGGTTCCTCATGTGTTGCCTTGGCTTTGTTCGACGGGTGCCTCCAGGACTGTTGTGTCATTCCTGCACAACAGTTTGACTTTCCCTCAGCAGCCTCGAGAACGAAACAATCAAAGACACGGTTTGTGGCGGTTCAGTGCCACGCGACGCGCCTGGGCTCAAACTGTGGCTGGAAGAAATGACCTGCAGAAAGTGACAGCTGCTTGGAACTGAATGGCGCTGATTGCAAGCATTTTCACCAGTCATGCCACCATGCTAGGGTTGATTGTACTGATTGATCGACTGTTGGTTCAAGACAAGCTTAAGCTCCGGCTTGCTGCTTGCGGTGATTCTGGAGGCGCCACTTGCGGCGACGAATGGGCGCGCAACCGTCCTCATCCCCAAAGGGCAGCGGGGCACGTGGCGAGTGCCCCATTTCGAGGAGTATTTGTCAGACCTGCCTGTGAACACTGAGGTGTTACTGGAGCTATTCGACAAGGTACAGAGGTGTTGTCTTCAGCAACCGAAAAAGAGGCTGGCCTTCGTGGAATGTGCCTGGCATGGTGCACGGTTGAAAGCATGGAGCAACGTCATCAGGCCTCGGTAGAAGCAATCCGAAAGATTCTCGATGAACTGTTTCTTCCCCAGCTCAAGGATGCAATTGAAATTCGCTCAGGTCTATTGGCAATCCGGATGTCAGTTTCTTTTGTTGTGTTGTGCCCGTGGCGAGCCTTACAGGCTCGGCCAGCGCGGAGATGCCTGCCGCAGCCTGGCGGAACGGGGAGTGCATGCCGCGAAGGTTACGACAGCCAGGCTTGTGAGGCATAGATTTGTGCTCAATGTCCACAATGCAGTGGTTGCCCTGGGAGAAAACGTCAGTTTTAGCCAGATTGCATTTTGGTCTGCATCCTGGAAAATATGCGTTTCGGACAAACGGAGGAAGTTGCCCCTCCCAATCACAGCATTCTAGCTTTGCTGGAGTCCTTGCGCGAGGGGGGTTTGGCAGCATTCTGAGCCAACCTTTGCAGTCCGCCGCTTTTTTTCTACGAATCAGACTGGACAAACAGGCCAATAGTGACCCAGAATCGGTTGGCACTGCATTTTAAACAGCATTTCCACCACATTTTAGAAAAGGGATTCAACAAAAAAACAGGGATTGGCTCTGCCTTCTCTAAAATGTCGAGACCACAAGAATGCGGTGCTGACCTTCACTACGAGTACAGACCCATATGAGCACTGCTGGTTCCATGCCGCAATGGCGGTGCTACA